TTTTTTTTTTTTTGTGGAATCAGAACTGGTGGGCCTCACATTTAAGTAAAACTGCAGACATTGCATCTTTCCTTGCACTTCATTTTTTTTATATAATCCATTAGGCGACCCCTGCTTCAATCAAGTAAGTATTTATCTCACTCATCTATTTCTCGCGTGTTTCTCCCTTATGTTGCTAATTAGATTAAGAGAGAGTTTAATATGTTGATTACTGTAATAATAGACTTCTCCCATTTGAGGGCATGTTTTGTTTATCCATTCATATGGGTGTTATTCAACTATGGATATAGCAAGTTGTTGCCAAAAATTTTTAATAACAGATTGTCTTTCTGAGAACCAAAACCATTTTATGATTTTAAGCTGATGTATCAATGGAATGTGGACTAGAATGATTGTTTCCCTAGTTATTTAATGAACTCCGTTGGCTCAAGTTTCACTTTGTTCATGGAGTGCTTGAGCCATGGACCACTGATCCTTGTTAACCTTGAACTTCCATAGCCATTACTAGACATGTTTTGGTTTGAACACACCAAAGTACTATTAGGAATTATTCGGCAAATAAAGGGAGAAAAGAAACCATGGAATTGACTATAACATTAAAGTAACATAGGGGATAAGATAATAATTAACTAAATCAGGATTCGAATTGGAAATCTCCATTAGGAACCTTGTTGATGGGTTATTTGTGTATTCCTAAAATTGATACTTGTTATATAAGTTTCCTAGATTGATTGTCCACGTGGGGTTCGAGGTGATATATTTTATTCTTCATAAAGCACTTAAAAAATTTCAAAGTGAATAATAATATTTGTTCTTTATGTGCATTTTCTTAAAGCTTATTATAAATAATTGCTTATTCAACTATTAATCTTATAAATGTTTTATAATGCGTACGGTGTGTTCTATAAACATTTTATGAACCAATAACATGTTTTGATTACAAGAAAGCTAAAACTAGGACAAGTAATGAAATTATACCTATGTTATGTTAAATGATTACAGAATACTTAAAAATTGAAAATTTCAACTAAGATTATTGTCTACATTTTTGTGTTTGAGAATCTGACATTTATACCCATGGCGGGTGATGATTTATACTCATGGTGAATGATGATTTGACATTTATGCCAATAATGGATGTTGAGAGTTATTATATATATATATATACTCATGGTGGGTGACAATTTGACATATGCCCATGGTGGATAATGTTGTGATATAGATACCCTTGGTGAGTTATGATTTAATATGTTATACCCATAATAAGTGATGGTTAATGCATATAACTACTCTGACAAGTGACCTATGATGATGCATAGGATGATATAATACGTATCCATGGTGGGTATTGGATGATGGACATGGGATCTCCGCACTATTTTATGAACATACATGTGGTCATATACATAAGGTCTAGGTTATAAATATATATTTATATTTTTATAAAAAAAATTTATTTACTACACTTGCACGATTAAAGCCTTTTAAAGATTACAATATTATATTTGAGTTTATAAAAATATTTTTATGTGATGCTTGTTCTACATGTTTAGAATAAGCATTTTTTCTTATTGAGTCACAAAAACTCACTCTTTTATTTAATATTTTCAAATACTAGTACAAATCCTCAATTGGATTCCACAGTTTAATTAAGAGGCATCCTTAAATGAGCCCAATTTCTGATTTGGGTAAAGTTAATTTAGATCAATATAGTTTCTATTTCATTTATTTCAATTTATAGTTGCTTCTAAACCTATAAATAAGATCCAATTATACTTAATAATTTTCTATTGTAATAATTAGATGTTAAAACTTTACATCTTTTATAATTGCCTATTGATTGTTGTTGAGAAAACTTTGCAACATTTTATACAAGTTATAATTTGGGAAATGTTTAATTTTAAAGGAAACTTTGCCGAATTTTTTTTTTTTAATTTAAACACTTAGAATATTTTGATACTTAGAATTTTTTGATAAATTTAAGGCTGGCTAAGTGTGAAAATTTCATTTCTGGCGCCAATCATGGCACCTATAGTTAGGTTGTGACACCTTCAACGGTCTCCACCCTTCAAGGCTACCTCCCTCTAGCTTCATGTTCTGAGTCTTTCTCTAACATCTGTAGCTACTGTGCAATATCCACTAATCTATAACCATCCTTAGATCTGACGGTCTATGGAAACATTCTTAAAAAATCCTCCTATTCCTTCAATTCCATAAAAGCCAAGACACAATAGCCACCTACTTGCTCCCTTTTGACTAGGAAATGCCTCACTAATCCCCTTGCTATTAGATACCAACCACTCTCGAGTCTCCAATATGAAGAAACTAGTTCTAACTCTTAGACCCTTCACACCTCCATCGCTACAAGGCAATCTCTAAGAACATGGATATAGTTTCTCGCAAATGACCATATATCAGACATCCCAGATCGTAGTTACTCCATTTAGCTTTCCTCTCATTTGTGCTCAGCCTGCCTTGGAGTACTAGAAAAATAAAACTTCTCACTCTCTCTAGGACTTGAAGTCTCCAAATCCTGCTCAAAGTGTTTCTCTATTTAATAAAGCTGTAATTATTAAGGAGTCTATATGCACTTCTCACACTAAATTCCCCATTACTCTCCCTTGGCCAAATAATCTTGTTCGACCCTAAGTCTGAGGATGGAGGAGGGATGGCTTGGAATTTGACAAGAACTACCGACTTAAGATAGGACTTCAATTTATCCCAATCCCAATCTCCATTGAACTGCCACCATCTCAGGCCGTCTACATCCTTCACCTCTTGGAAGTGGCCAAACTTGAAATCTATAAGCTTCACATTCTTATCAAGCCAGCTATCCGTCTAGAAGTTTATAGTCCCATTACCAACTCTCAATAACTCAAATCTTGAAAGTGTATTCCATTTCTAAACTAGATCTCACCAAAGCTTGGAATCTGAGGGCTTTTGGGCTATGAAAAATAGCCAGCCATAGACTCTCCCATATGTACCCCTCAAAACTTCTAACCAAGGGCTGTACTCCATTGTTTAATTTGCCAGCTGAGTTTCATTATGTAAGCCTTATTCATCCTTGCATACTTTTCATCCCCAAACCTCCATAAGCCTGGGGTACCAAGGTGTTCCATGCCACCGGGTGTGGCTTTTTAACCTAATCCTTGTGACCCCAGCTAAAATTTGTCTACAACTTCTCAAGCTCTTTGATGACAGATTTTGACAACCTGCACACCCTCGTAGAAAAGACAAGAATTGACCCAATCACCGAGTTGTTCAGGATTGCTTTAGGGTATAGAAAAAGTAAAGCTTGACCTAGGCTTGCATTGGGCCTGTGCAGGCAGCGCACCGCACCCAACCCTACCCCTAGGGAGCTCGGCACACAGCCCACACTTCTGTCGAGTCAAAAAACATTTTAAAAAATTGAAGGTCTATATGTTTGTAAAGAGCAAGGATAGCTAAAAGTAAATAGGAAATAAATATATTTCAATAATACCAAGCATATAATTTGGATTTTAAAATTTGGGAGGAGGGAAGGATGGGAGGAAGTCAACTTGCTGAGTGGGGCGTCCCACGAGCGCAAAACCCAATCCTTCTGTCACGTCAGCAGATAGGCTTTGCGATATTCCAAGCCAATGCTTGCCACTCATCTGCTGCATCTTCAGATTCTCCACCGTAGTCTCTCTTTCCCAACCGCAAATTACTGTTCCCAGGGCAAGTCAAGGCAATTTCCCACCAAAAGGAAAACTCAACATACGGATATGGCATCGTCTCCTTTCTCAGGAACCCCTTCTAACGCGTATCTCCGAGAGAAAACTACATCCTCTACAAGCCCAGAGGCAGGAGTGGTGTTATCCAGTCCCGTCTATTCCACCCTAAAACGACATTCTCTGTTTGGCTGAATCAGTCAGACATTGCGCCTGCACCTTGGCTTTCTGCTCTGCTCTTCCAGATTCGAATGGCTTCCGTTTCAGCTAATGCCTGCAGTCTCAGCTTCCAAGCTTCCCTGCTAAAGCCGCGTAGCATCCAGGTAACAACCACAGGGAAAAGAAGAAAGAAAGAGAGAAAAATCCTTCTCCAGCTTCTATCTTGTGTGGGCTTGCTTCTAACATTTTGGTCTCTTTACAATAATGCTTTGCTTTTGCTTGTGTTCGGAGCATATAATCTTTAAACTTGGGCCTGTTCAAATATATAGACTAATTTATAGATTGCACCTTCAATATTACATCTTTCACACGTATTGCATCTTAGAAATATAAAATTAGCATCTTGCACCATCAGTTTAGTAACTCCCACTCTTTGAATTGAAGTGCGCCCTGTAACGCATTTTTATTTAATTTTTGAAGGAGACAATGGAAATATAACTTTACTGGTTGCTTATTAGATATTATTTTTCCAAACCATTTTGCAGGGAGCTGTAAGCAGGTGGTGTGTGAAGCTTCCTTCTGCGGGCTCAGCAAGGATTAGGTTCCCTCCGCTCACTTCTCGGCGGTTCAGCATCTCTTGCGCTGTATTTTCTTCGTCTTTTGTTTTTAATTTCTTCTCTGCTCAATGAAAAAAAAAAAATAAAAAAAAAAAAATAAAAAATAAAGTAGTAATTTCTCACTCTTTTAAGATGACATTATATGTGTGCGTGTGTGTGTACGTATATGTATATGTATGTATATACAAGGGAGTACAAATTCATTTGACAGGCAAAGCGGGAGACAGTGGATTAGGTTTGTGAAATTGTGAGGAAGCAGCTGGCATTACCTCCCGAATCTGAGCTCACCCCTGCTACCAAGTTTTCTGCACTTGGGGCTGACTCCCTGGACACTGTATGCACCCCTTCCTGTGCTCTTTTGTTTGGCTGTATATCGAGCTTTTTAGCGTTCAAAACCGAAAAATACAAAAAAAACAAATAACAAAAGAACACATAAATGTAAAATTTGGGCTGAATTGGAAAAAGAAAAAAAATTGAGATACTGATTTTGAATTTTTTTAGAGCTTCTGTACTTAAAATTAAACCCAAATATCGAAAAGAAAGTTAGCTAAGCATATGGCCGGGTTGTGATGTCCAACAGGTGGAGATAGTGATGGGGCTGGAGGAGGAATTTGGCATCAGCGTGGAGGAGGAAAGCTCTGAGAACATAACCACGGTCCAAGAGGCGGCTGACTTGATAGAGAAACTTGTCCAAAAGAAAGCCGGGGCTTAGCCCTGTTTGGTATTGGAAAAGAAAAAGTTATTTTTATCTCAACTTTTTAATAACCGAGAAGTTTCGGTCTACCACCTGTTAAAGCTAGCTTTTTCTTAGAACATAGATGGGAGTCAGCAGCCAACCTAAACCCTTATTGTCCTAATGAAAAATCTGAAGAAGGAAAATGGCTGGAAATATTTCAATATCAAAATAGGGCTGAGAATTTTGGGTGGCGTCGCCAGATAGGATCTTTCTGAGGAGCTAGTTTTTTTGGTCCTGCCTTCTGCGTGCACATTGATTTGTTAGAGAAACCAAGCCTATATGGGTCGATGATATTCAAAATTGTATTGGGACTGCAATTGATTGGTGATGTTTTTGTTATTTTATTAAAACGTAATGTTATATATATTGTTTATGCAAAGAAATGCATGTTAATGTATTTGATTTTTGAGTAATGAGCCCAGATTATTTGGAAATATATGATTAGCGCCTTGTTTGGAATGTATGAGTAGCAATTCCCATAGTCCACCCACTACTACTAGATTTTCTTAAATGAAAGCGTTGATTTAGTAGAAAAAATAAATATTTCTATATTTAATATTAGAAATTGACTTAATTAATTAATGACTCTAATATTTATTAAATCAATATTAGATGTTAATACTGATATTTGATTCAAAAGTTATTAAAAACTACTGATTTAGTAAGTCGAGATCTAGTATCAAAATGAATGATGAAGGTTAGATTCACTCTCATCTCTTCTCTCTCCTCCTGCAAATCAGTCTACCAACCACCCGGGAGATTGGTAGCGCCAACCATTTTCAGAGCCCGCAGATCCTGGACAATCTTCCTTCAGATCTACAGCAAAACAAAGATCTTCAAATTTATAGCAAACGGACCAATCAAACGGTAGTGGTTAGATGCCATGTCCAGTCAGCTATTCTTCTTCCTCCTCTCCTCTCTTCTCTTTCTCTCCCCTCTCCTCTATGCAAACTAAAGCAAATGAATGAATCAGACGACAGCAGTTGGATTCTATGACTAGTCGGCTGTTCTTCCTCCTCCTCTCCCCTCTTCTCCTGGACGGTGGCAGTTGGATTCCAATTGGTTGAGCAATTTTTGGTTCTAGGTAGAAGGATGTGACATCGGATGTGGCGCCATATTTACATATAAATAATATGTTCATTTTAGTTAAAGAAAAAAAATAATTACATGAGAATACTTGAAAAAATACTATCACATCTTTTCTTCCCTTTTAAGTATTATTCTTCTTAGCCTGGTACATATATTTTTTATGATCTTTCCCTGTATTTGTACATATATGTTGAACGTGTGACTAAATAAAATAAATTTATCCTATTTTATCTTATTTTATCCAATCAATCAAATACCAACACAATTGAAATATCCAGCTTGCTCCTAGCTGACAGCTTTTTGTTGTGCAAAGTCGCACTTGCACCCTACTAGCAAGATTGTCATGTTTGGTTTTGCATATTGCCCGGCATCCTCCAAACACTTAATATTCTACAAACCACATCCCAATGCAGGCACTGAAATGTACTAATGTTTTTTTTCAGATTACAGAATTCAGATGCATAAAAAAATAAAATAATAATTGTAATCATGATAAATAATTAAAATATTCATCTCATTCAGGCTTCTTTAGGTAATAGAATTTATGACTTGGAATTTACTCAAATATAAAACCCACGATGAAATCAGAAAATATACTAGCCTAAGCAAAGAAAGAAGGCTATTGTAACCCCCCCCCCCCCCCCCAAAAAAAAAAGGAAGAATTTCATTGGCTTAGAAGCTACTGTTGATTATTTAATCTACATTTCCTGGGAAAAAAAACAGAACGAAAAATAAAAAGAAAACAAAAAGTTTTTTTTTTTTTTTTTTTTTTGCTGCGAAGATCTGACGGCTAGAAAGATGGAGGAAACATTTTTTTTCCTCCCTTCAGCCTTTCTGGCCAATACGTGGACAATAAAGCGAAGAAAAGTTTTCTCTATCTTTTCACAGCAGGAGGGCTGAGTAGAGACCCCTTTTTCTTGCACTGCTAGAGAAATGATGGGGAGGGTCACGAAAGGGGAGGAAAACTTTTTTGGTCGTTCATGGTGCGGGAAGGACACAGCATGGACCCGTTTTGCTTCCGTAATGGGAGAAATGATGGGGACAACAGGAAGGGCGATGGAGGGGGAGAAAAACATTTTTCTTTCTGTTCACAGCTCGGGATGACAAAGCAGAAGTATTTTGCTTGTGAGGCTAGAGGAATGACAGGGACGACGGGAAGGGCGACGAAGGGAACGAGAGAGAGAAGTCTGAAATTCAAAATTTTAACTATAGTTGGTGAGTGAATTTGAAATTCAAAATACAAGTTGTTGGTGCGTGGGAGAAGATAAAGGTGTCCTGATTTTTTAAAAATTGTGCTGAATTGAATCATATTTAAATGAATTATATTAAAAGTTAGATTTTAAAAAAAAATTATAAGTTTAGTATTATGTAATATTATATTAAATATTTTAATAGAGTTTTGGTTTATAAAAATCATACTGAATCAAATATTATATATAATAATTTATAAAATTATTTATATAATATATGAAATGATTAAATTCTTAAGTATTAAATACAATTCAATAATAAGTTTAAAAAATTAAAAGATTAAAAACTTGTATGAAAAAAAGTGTAAATATTATGAATTAAAATGTAAAAAAATTAATATATATCTTGTTCTTACAATTATTTTTTAACTTTTGTACATTTATTAAAGAATGATATTATTCTTTTTTTATTTTTTTGTTTCATTATTACATTTATGTTACAATGTAGTCACTTACTAATTTAACGCCTAATTTAAATTTTATAAATTATCTAGCACATAGAAAGGCTTAACAAAAAAAAAAAGGAACATCTTATATATACATTTTCATTGTAAATAGATAAAATGTTTTACTTAATAAATTTAAAAAATAGTTTTAGGAAAAAAATTAAATGAAGAAAAAAACTAAGTATTGAATTTTTTTCATCAAAAATCTTAAGTTTAAAAAAATAATTACCATTGCCAAATAAAAACATATAATTGAGAATTAAATTTTAATTTTTAAAATAAAAACTATTAAATTTTATATCTCTATATCAATAAAAAAAAATAAGTGTACAATAATGAATACATATTTAAAAAAATAAAATTAAATTTAAACTATATCGTACCAATATGTTTTTACATAATAATTTATTAAATTATTTATATTATGTATGAAATTATTAAACTTCCAAAAAATTAGATTATAAGTTATTAATTAAAGTATTTATATTACATGTAAATTAATTAAATCCTCTAATGATAGTAGGTTTTAATTAAATTAATAAAAAGTTTCATGTTAAATTTGATTAAACAAAATTGACTTTTTTATTTATTTTCATACAATTTTTAATTTATTTCTAATACATTATGAGATTAAGAATATAAACTTATATATGGTTATTAATAAAAGTTTTGAAATTAAAATCTTAAATATAGGAAATTATTAACATAATATAATCTCGAAATAATTTAATTTTTTCTTATTAGTTATATACTAAAAGAATTATTTTGTGTAGTTTTGTAAAAATTTTATTAGTTTACTTAAATATTTTAATATGATTAAAAAAAACTGTAAAAACCGCACCTAACTGTACTGAAACCGAATAAAACTAAAGTAATGCTACCAGTATCAAAAAGTATAGTTTTAGTTTAAACACTAAAAAAACTGAAATAATTGATATGATATAATTTTATGAAAAAATCGAAAAACACCAAACGTTGATCACTCATAGGAGAAGATTTAGTTGATATTGGGTGGTTCCTTAGTCTTGATATATTTATTTTCTATTACTTTTATTTTAGATTTCTTCCCCGATTGAATGTTGACGCATTTGTAATGTTTTTTTTCCATTTCCCTCTCCCGCACCAATAGCAACTATAAACTAATTTTGAAATTTGAAAACTAGCTCTTCCCCCTCTCACTATTTCTCTCTCTTACAACTTAAAACTAAATCCAAAACTAAATCCCTTCCACTTCTCCAAAATAAAGAAGCCACCATGCTTTCCAGCATACAATTGTCATGGACAACAAATCATGTGTATTTCTTCACAGCTAACCTTCATGTGTATTTCTTCACAAGCTTTTGAGTATCTCTTGGTTTCTTAATCCATTGTATGCATCATTGTATCCAACAATTATTAGGGATACGAGGCACCTTTAGAGCATCCAAGGAGGAAGTTCAAAGGCTTGAAAAAGAAAACCTGCAACTTAAAAAAGGGTGAGAAAGCTAGTTAAGTAATCAAGCTACTGCAAGAAGAAATCTCTGTCTCTCTCCAACTTTGGTGGTGATGATGAGTGAGATCGGAACTAAAGCAACTACTCCGACAAAAGAGGCAAAGGTTTCATGTGTTGTAGCGTGAGGCTCAAATCGGAAATATTTGGAGCATCTGTTGCAGAAATTAATTTTTCTTTTATCTTTTTGGAGGTGGACGGAAGAAGAAAAGGGTTAAAAGTTCAATGAAATGATGGTTGGAGTATAGAGAAGGATTTCGAAAGAACACCATTTTTGTATTAAAAAACAAATTGAATACTTGGAAATAGTTAGATCAGAGGACAATTGCTACAATTTACCCAACTTAGCTTGAATAAGTTAAGCACACAAAGTTGTTTAAGATGGTTGGTGAAATAACTTTTAAAGTGATGTATGAAGAAATTAATTTATTATGATATAAAACGTTGGTTTCAACTTTTGTTTGAACTTCTATGTCAATAAGTTTACCAAACTCTAATTTTATTAAAAATCATATATTTTTCAATCAAACATTCAAAATTTCCTCCAAACACGTCATTACTATCATTATTTAAACAAATCAAAATTAGTTGACAATGAACCAAAATCCTCTTTTGATGTCAAAAGTAACTATTTTGATTCAAACTATTAATTAGTCGATTCTTGTTCCCAATAGATCAAGACAGACCTGAAACCAAGCTGTT